ATACTGTGCCAGGAAGCCCAGGGGTCCTCCCCGACACCACCCCGGCGAATCCACATGTCTCTCGGCATCAAGGCTCCCCCGATTAGCAATTTACTCAGCCAAGGGCGTCCCATTCCACCCATGTGGTCGTACTTGTCTTATGTTCGGATGAAATTCCAAGGAAACGGTCCTTATGTGCAAGAGCGGGAAACCGTACACCCGGTACGTTCCCCGGTCCGCGGTTTTGGAAATTCATTTAGTTCGCAAGCACCGACCCAGGTGTCGGGTTTTCCAAGTCTTTTGTAAAACTCCAGTTTTACCCAAGTTGTTACTCAGATTTTAAGTTTGAAGGCGACCGTCGATACTTGCACAGAGTGCACGAGTATCGAGGCGCAACTGGGTGGTTACAAGGGGACATGGTATAGCAATTAACAAAGGAAGGATCAAATGCGACAAATTAGGTAGGTCCGCCAATCTGCCTTGCAGACGGGACAAACAGATTAAGTGCGATCCTATCAATGCATAATATTTTGCAAGCAACATAATTAAATTTCAAATATAGGCTCAAGATGTTCAAAGGTGGCTTGCCTTGCTCGAGATCTGGAGCTTGATCCTCGAAATCCTCGCACTGCGGGTCTTCGGGCTCCGGAACTACACGCGAAACGGAACAACTCAACAAACGGCGAAAATAAAGCCCTATTAATGACCTCTAAGCGTTCCATTAGATAGATCTCGAGATTTGAGGAATTTTGGAAGTTGAACGGAGTCAAACGGATTTACGGTTGGGAAGATATTGAATTTCTAAGATTATTGGATTTTTGGTCTAAAGGAAAAGGATTTAATTAAATCCTTTTTGGAAAAGAAAAGAAAAGAAAAGAGGGATGGAAATCAGACTTTTCCTCGGGCGGCTAGGGCGCGGCCCAAGGTAAATGGAGCGGCTCGGCCGAGCTTAACGGGCCGGCCGGCCCAAGACGGCCCAAGCGCGCGCGCGGGGGAGGGAGGAGAGAGAGTCCGATGGACCGGGCTCACCACGCGCGGTCCCGGGTGGGACCCGCTTGTCAGCGGCTCGGCTCACCGTGCGGAGGGAGTACGTGGCTCATGCGCGCGGGCGGGGAAAGGACGCGGTGCACGCGCGCGGTCCGTTGTGGACGCAGGTGCGGCGGGCCCACGCGCAGCCTCACGGCTCGCGGTGGAACGCGCGCACGGGGAGGGACTGACCGGGGTCGGCTCGATCCGGTCTAGGCTGAGCTGGCGCCGACGTGGCGCCTACGTGGCGGCCACGTGGGCTGGCGGGAGGTAGACGATGATCCGGCCGCGAATGGACGGCGGGCGGCGGCGGCGAGCGGCGGAGCGAACCACGGCGATACGGGCAAAAGCGTGCACACCGGGCGGTTGCACGTGACAAGGGGAGACGAGCCAACGGCTCGGATTCGCCGGAGGTTGCTCGATGGCGGCGGATTGCGGCGGCGGCAACCGGCGGCGGGAGAAGAGGGAAACGGCGACGAGGTCACGAGAGGTCGATTCCCGGCGGTGAGAGCATCTATGCGGCTTCGGGAACTCGACGCTAGCGTCGGATTGGGCGGAACTACGCCGAGCGAGGCCGGCGACGAGCGGGTGCTACGGAGCTCGAGCGGCGACGGCGGCGAACACACGGCGAGCGACGGCAACGGTCGGGGCGGCGCCGGCTAACTACGGGGAGGCTACTCAAGCTACTACCGAAAGCTAGGGGGAGGAGATGGAGCGAGGAGGAAGAACGGAGAGAGACATCACCGAGAAGAGGAGGGGCGCTGTGACGAGAGGCCGGCGGCGCGGGAGTAATCTCTCCGGCCTCGGGCCGGGGAAGAGGAAGGAGAGGGCGCGGCCGAAGTCCCCTTCCGCGTCCTCGAACGCACCGGCTCTCCCGGCGCTTGGCGAAGGACGGCGGAGGCGAGACAGAGCACGGGGGCGGCGGCAACGGTGAGGAGGCGAATGGGAGAGGAAGGGAAAGGGGGAGGCTTGGGTTTATAGGATGGCAATGTCGGTTTGGGAACCGACTTAGGGCGGTCAAGGGCGCGAGCTGGCGCTCGGCGGTCGCGGCCAAAGCGGCGACAGGGAGGATGACGCCGGCGAGGAGGAAAAAGGGGAAAAGGAGGGGGAGAAAGGGGGCTTGCCCCTTTGCCGATTAGGGAAAAAGGGGAAGGGGAGCGGGGGCGACGCGGCAGAGAGAGGAGGGGCGCGGCCTCCTTCCCTTGGCGGCTTGCGCGCGGAGTGGTGGGGGCCGGGCGGTGATGACGGCGATGACGGCGGGCGGTTTGGAGCGGAGCGGCGACACTGGCGACAGGCGCGGCAGACGCTGACGACGGCGGCGACCGGGCGGTCGGCCACTCGGCGCGCGCGCGCGGGAAACAACGGGCGGCGTCCGCGCGGGCGCGCGCACGCAAACACGGCGCGCGGGAAGCGTCTTTGCGAGCGGGGAGCTCGCGCGAGGGGAGGGGCGCTCAGCGCGGGCGACTCCCGCGCACGCGCGCGCGGCGCGCGGGCGGGGCGGAGGGGGGAGCGGGGAGAGAGGCGCTCGGGGCGGCTCTCGCACGCGCGAGCAGCGTGCGGGCGAGGCTGAGCGGGGCTGAGCGGGGGGGGGAGAGCGCGCCGGAGAGGGGAGGGAGCGAGAGAGAGAGAGAGAGAGATCGCCCGGGAGAGAGAGGAGAGGGCCGGGGGAGAGGGGGAGATGGGCCGAGCGAGATTTGGCCCATCGACCTCGGGGGAGGCAAAATAGACTTTTGCGGAGGAAAATGATTTTGGAAGGGTTTGGATTCAGAATTGATCTCGACGATAGATCGGGGATTGAGATCTTGAGATAGCACGGACACTAGACAACAAGCAAGGAAACAAATTTCGCAAATAGGGTTTTTAAGAGATAATTTTCCCGCTAGGCGCCACGACGGAACGGGCGCTACAGGTTGTATATGGAGAGTTGGAAATGGTCAGTCAGTTCGCATATGGCGTGATCCCTGGATTCCAAGGGACCATTCTCGACGGCCAATAGCAAGGAAAGGTAATTGCAGGATGAAATGGGTGTCCGAGCTATTGGGACCTGACGGTGTGTGGGACGTTCAGAAAGTTAATCGGGTTTTCCTTCCCTGTGATGCTGAAGAAATACTGAGGATTCGGACTTCAATGAGGCAGGATGAGGATTTTTTGGCTTGGCATCTGGACAAGATGGGACGTTTCTATGTCAGGAGTGCTTATAAACTGGCAATGTCTCTGGCCAATATGGATGAAAGCTCCAGCTCGTCAGATGACAAGTCCAGGAAGATGTGGGATTTAATCTGGAAGTGTGAAGTGCCACAAAAGGTTAAAATCTTCATGTGGAAAGCTGCTACAAACAGCCTAGCCACTATGGAGAATAAAAAGAGAAGGAAACTAGAACAGTCAGAAATATGTTGCATTTGTGGTACTGTAAGAGAAGATGTTGGCCATGCACTGGGAAGGTGCCCACATGCAAAGCGACTATGGTCTGCCTTGCTGTATTCAGGCAACTTGTCAGTCGGCATTGTCGGAAATTCTACAGGATCCTCCTGGCTGTTTGAACAAGTTGAGCTAACACCAAAAGAGGAAAGACCTATGCTGTTTATGTTGTTATGGCACATTTGGTTTGTGCATAATGAGATTGTTCACGACAAAGTGCCGCCTCCAGTGGATGTATCGCAAAGGTTTCTACAGAGCTATATCACCTCGCTCTTAGAGATCAAACAATATCCGCAAGCAAACGTCGTTACAGGGAAACATGTGGTTCAATGCAGACCAAGACAGGGCCTGAAAATTCATCAGGATTGTTCAGAGGCTCTACCCAGGTGGGAGAAACCGCAGGAGCGATGGATGAAGCTAAATGTTGATGGTTCCTTTGACTCTGTAACAAGCACAGGAAGTGTGGGTGTGGTGCTCAGGAATACCAGCGGCCAGGTTATTTTCTCTGCCTGTGGTTTTATTGAGCGTTGTACTAGCCCCCTGGAGTCTGAACTTCTGGCCTGCAAAGAGGGGCTCAATATGGCGCTTCAATGGACCTTACTGTCGATAATTGTAGAGACTGATTGCCTGACGGCTGTTAATATGATTCAAGATGCGCGGAAGGAAATGTCAGCGCTTGCTCACGTTGTTAAAGACATCGGGATTCTGATGTCTGGAGACCGGGAGATTGTCCTCAAGAAAATTCAGCGTTCTCAGAATTCCATTAGTTATTTTCTAGCTAATAAGGCCCGTGCTGAAACTTTGTCCAAGTTTTGGCCGGATGAGAGCTGTAATTTAATTACACATCTTGTTGATGTGGATGCTTTATCTGAGTAATAGATCTCCCTTCCCCCGCAAAAAAAAAAACAAACATATTTTTATAGTAGCATGGATCCAATTATCCTTTCGATTTTTTATGAAGGGAGGGGGGTTTGATGAAAGGAGGAGAATTAATGATTCTCCTTTTAATGTAGTACTAATTATATATAACACCGAAATCTGTAAGAGCAGTTAGCAGAAACCTAACTGCATCCGTAGTGTGGCAGGTAAACATCAAACCAAAACACATTTGCATCAAGCTACTCGATCGAGAGAGCAAAGGTTAAATTCCTGTAGATCTATACACAGTGGAGTACTACAACCAAGAACCAACGGAGCGAAGCAAGCAAGGAAGAAGAAGACAAACACACGAAATGCACGCGGCTTCCTCTAAGGAAAACATGAAACGAAATGACAAAATCGATCGTGACGCCATGCAATATTCAGTTCCAGACAAATTCAAGCAGGCAGAGGAAGCAAGATCACAGAATTAGCCAGCGCTGAAGCTAGTCGTTCATCTGTTTCTTTAATCCATTCGAGACGTACTGTTCCGACGAATCATACACCAGATTATATATATGATCTCTCCATCATGGCATCAATTAATCAGCTAATTAAGCTCTCCCAAATTCAAGATACAACCTAGTGTACACGAAATACAAACGATGCATGAAGTAGCAGGAATTGTGCGTGTGTGCTAGCTGCATGCAGAAGCTGACCTGAATATCAATGTCGCGCAGGCACTGGAGACGTTGTCGATGTAGGATGAGTATGTAACAGAACGAATGGAGAGTTGGAGAGTGGTTGATCGATCGATCTACTGCGTCTGTAGCTGGTCGTGGGAAGGAAAGCTAGCTAGATGCCACGCCTAACTAGCTAGGAGTACTACACGGTTTATATAGGCTAGCTATACCTACCACTTTTTCTTAATAATGAAAGCTTTGTTGATTTATGTCACGGTGATAGAATTGCTGAAAACAATATACTACTCTCTTCATAAAAAAAAACTAACCTAAAATTAGTATAGATAGAATCTAGTACAACAAATCTGAACAGACTCATCCCAATTCATTATACTAGATTATGTTTTATCCTAATTCTAGATTGTTTTTTTTTTACGAAAGGAGTACAACGCATGCATCAACACCTAGCTTAGGTGCATCCTTGTGATCATCTGTCCTAGACGTCGTCAGTGTCATCTTGTTTAAAATGAGCACAATAACTGTTACAAACAGACTTAAAAATTGATATACTAAATTTGTGCTTTGATAGAGGAGATCGGAGAGGAAAGAGAAAAGAAAACGAACTGTAGATTTATAATTCAACTATAACGCGGCTTTCAAAAATTGTGTATGTGAGGTAAGACAGAAAATAATGATATACTATAAAATTACTCAACTATAGCATTGTATGATTAAGCTATTAAATTAGCTAATCAATTTTAGTTACAGTTGATTATACTGTTAAACTTGTTTTAATTTGCTGCTGCTAATTCCTTCCTAATTATTCTCCGCTCCTGTGGCTATACCTTGCACTGACTGGTTGGCCTGGCCTCCATTTCCTCTCCTCCGTGCATGCATCCGGTATCAACATGCATAGCATGATTGCCTTTTAGTACTAGTTTTTAATTATCAGGTACGTACATTATTCATGTGACGCGCACTAACTCGGCCTTAATCCTAGGTAGCTAATCGTTTACAAGTACGTATACTCCGTAAAAAAAAAAACGGCGTTTGGACGCTCAAACTTGCCTTGGATCGGGAAAGAATTCAACTCTCGATCAGACTGCTATTGCCAACATGTGTTATAGTACTTATCATTTTACAGCCATGTGCGTACGTACACTACGCACGCTAATTGTGTGATGTTCATAGTACTGGAACGCTACAAATTAATGTCAACACTCTAATCCGTAGTGGTATTATTTTTACGTATAAAGAAACGATTTCCACGTACAATGAGAATTGATATATTGGTGTGAGGTGTTTTTTTTTTCTCGTGAAGGGACTCTCTCATTTTATGCATGTCACTTAAAAATTATTCAAAAATATTTAATAAGAAAAATCGATAAAATGGCGCATCATTTCACAAATTTTGTAAATATATATGCAAACAAAAATTTGACTTATAAAGAAAATAACAAATATATTTTCCCAACCAGTCCACAGGACAAATAAAAGGTCACGGCCATGTGTTGTCCTCCCCTGTACTACTGTCTGCGTGTTCCACGTGAGATGTGACGCCATATAAAAATATATGTACACAGTGATAAGTTAATCATAGGCAGAGACATCTTTCTTTGAATGGAACTGAACTACTCCCTCCGTTCTAAAATATAATTATTTTTAAAATAGTGCCAAGTCAAACTTTTAAAATTCTAACTATTAATAGCGATAAATTAAGAAAGATTAATCATGTAAATTTGATATTACTACATTTATCATTAAACGAACTATCATAATATGCAACTATTTTTATGTAAAACATTTTACTTTTATAGATATTGTTGGTCAAAGTAGTATCTCGGAGACTATATCGAGATCTAAAAATACTTATATTTTGAGACGGAGGGAGTACGTAGTATCTAGTAGATAGTAGTAATGTAGTACTAGTATAATTGATAACCTGTGTATATTGCTTCTATATATTTTAGGAAAAGACATAACTTTTATTTACCTAAATCAAACGGTTGAGATAATTGTTAGTAAGAAAAATTTAGCACGTGTAGCAATTATGTTTGTACAGTAACGTTAAATATCCGTAACCCCACCAATTCTTTTAAAAGAATTAAACGGAAATTTAGATTGTTGATAAATTTTAGGGACCCTTCAATCAAAAGATTCAAGTAGGAAATTCATATGATTCCAATCCTACAGGAATTCTTTTATTTGGTTTTTGGTACAAAGAATTGGAGCTTTTTAAATTCTATGAAATTTCTATGCAATGGCTCATTGCATATATATATATATATATATATATATATATATATATATATATATATATATATATATATATATATATTAGAAAAACATTAGGAAAAGCTCTAACCTCTTAGAAAAATTCATTTGAATCTATCTCTCTCGTCCAATTTCTGCGGTTCAATCAAACAATCATTCTTTTTTTTTCTATGTTTTGTAATCTTTTGTTTTACACGTATGTTCCTGTCAGAATTCTACGTTTTTTTCTATTTCTACATTATTTTTATTCCTTCGATTCAAAGGGTCCCTATCCTTTTATAGTTGTTCACCGGGATAACAGGGGCACAGTTAGGCCTATGGTAACTAGAGCTTGAGTCCTATGCTTAGCTCCAAAACTCCATTTAAGTAATTAATCCTATAGAGATGTAGATATTTTTTTTATAAAAAAAATAAGTCTAACAAAAATTGAAAAATTCAATCTTAGGCTTGCATTTTTTTTCCTCCGCATTTGACGGGTAACCACATGGTTATCACGGTTACCGAGCTTTACCATTAGGGTACGATAACATTTTTTTTATCGGTAAGGACACACGGTAAACACTGTATAATCGTAAGAGATCATACGTCACATTTACGTTAGTATAACGCTAATTAATTATAAACAGTTGATTTTATCGTGATTTCGCTTTAATGAGCGAGGTCTTAAATGGAGATATGATCACGTAGGATTATTAACTTTCCAATTTGTACTATAGCTAACCTCTCCGGTTTGGCCACATTTCTGGACAGGGGAGACGTACGAAAGCTATAGCTGCATTTGCAATGCAATAATGCAAACAACGACGACCAATAGTGAAAAGGGCCGTGCTTCTAGCAACGTGACACTATATATGTATTCATCGAATCAGGCAGAAGCAGATCGGAAAAGAGGCAGAACAGAGCTAGTTACGTACTGTGCTGGCGGCGAGGAGCAGGACACAAAATGACGAAATTTTTGATAAATTTTATTGCTCTTCCTCGCGTGGTAACAGTGATGTCACCTGTGGTGTGCTCGGCTCAGAGTGATCGTTCGGTGTACGAGGGGTACTTCCAGTTGGCCCTGCCACTCCTCCTTGGTCTCGTTGACGGGATCTTCAAAGCTGGAAAATATAGCCACAACTGGATCATTTCAGTCAACAACTCAACATGCAACTCCGGGTTCATTCAAGGTATGAATTACTTCGTTCTGTGCTATACTTTGGACTTGTTTAGTTGAATTTTTTTTTTAGTTTGATTGTCATCGGATATACGGACACACATTTGAAATATTAAAAGTAGTCTAATAACAAAAACAATTAGAGATTCTGCCAGGAAACTGCACGATAAATTTATTAAGCCTAATTAATCCATCATTAGCAAATATTTATTGTAGCACCACACTGTCAAATCATGGCGTAATTAGGCTTAAATGATTCGTTTCGCAATTTACACGTAAACTATGTAATTGGTTTTTTTTCTATATTTAATACTCCATACATGTGTCCAAACATTCGATGTGATGGGTGAAAAGTTTTTATTTTGGAAACTAGACAAGGCCTTTCTCAGTTTCTCCTCTCTCTTGTTTTGCCTTTCATCTATATATTCTAAAATGAAATTTCTTCTTGTTTTATTTTTTCTTGTCAGATTAGTGGAATCTTTTGCACCCGTGTTCGCTGGTGGGGAGGTTGGAACTAAACTTTTCCACACGGAAAACGGAACGGTCTATTAACACATAATTAACTAAGTATTAACTATTTATTTTTTTCTAAAAATGGATCAATATGATTTTTAAGCAACTTTCTTATAGAAATTTTTTTTTATAAAAAAGCACCATTTAGTAGTTTTAAAAACGCGTGTAGAAAAAGAGGGGTGAGTTGGGAAAGGGGTTCACACTACATATGGGAGAGAGAAGAGAGAGAGAAGGGGAAAGGTAGAGAGCTCTTGAAAGCAGATTGAGCAAGATGGGAACGACGCCGCTCGAGCTAAGCCTCACGCCGCCGATGGGCTGGCTGGCTGGCTGCCCCGGCCGCCGCCTGCGTGCGTCACGTACGCCGCCGATGGTTTTCTGTGCTGCGCCGTACGGTGTCGATATATGGTGCTATCTTAAAACAAATGGTCAAACGTTGATTAAAAAATCAACGATATCGTACATTAAAATACATTAAAATAAGTAGGGAGTACTAGATGAGAATGAGATCGTCATGGACAATGCGGTGTCGTGGCCTTCGTCTCCGGCCGGCCGGGCTTATCTCTGAGAGTCTGAGTGGTTGGTTTGTCGCGCACTTCGGTCCATGGAAGCATGGCCGGCGTACGTACTCGTACGTGTTCGTATAACAGGTAGTACACGGGAAAGAATACGTGTTCGTACGTGTAGACCCAGCCAGCCACTAATTCATTCGCTTACCGCGGCACCAACCGAAATCCCACAGTACACCCTACCGTATAATTGCACGGGTGATGCTAACGGGCGGTTGATCGCCGCCCCTCCCCCTCCCCCTTACCCCTCTCTTCTTTTCTTCCATCATAAAATTTTTTAAAAAAACACAAATTTTAGTTAAAAAAAGAAAAAAAATTATAATACTCTCATTCATTTACATAGATTTTATACCGTAAACTTTACATGCATAAACTTTATGTATAGAAATATTATATATATAAAATATTTAAATCTGAATTTGAATTTGAATCGGGTATATAAACTATTGACTTATAAACATTCGCTCTACAAACTTTAGGTGGATAAACTTTAGATGTGTAAACTTTAGGTGTATAAACTTACTAAAAGAGGAAAAATATAAAATATTTAAATTCGAATTTGAATTTGAATCAGGTATATAAACTCTTGACTTATAAACATTCGCTCTACAAATTTTAGGTGGATAAATTTTAGATGTGTAAACTTTAAGTGTATAAACTTACTAAAAGAGAAAAAATATAAAA